TTCTGTTGTTCAGCCAGCATAGTCACATAGGCTTTCCACATATTGTCAGGATGATTTTAAGAAAGTTGGGTCATCCAGTGAGACGTCTTCAACCCACGTACCCATTTCCTGTTGCATTTGAGAGTGGTGGTTTCGGACATCAGTAGTAGTAGACACGCTGCAGACACAAAACAGAAGAGGCCCCATCTCCATTAGTACCCCATTTTCTGCTCAGTTACAGTGATGCCGGATTTATCCTAGGACACTACAGAAAGGGTATTGTTGATTGCTTCACCAACATTGAGACGAGTGGCCCTAATTTACCAAAGCCCTTTGAAGTTGGTCTTCCCCACCGTTCCAACTAGGAATCCAGCACTCGCTGCAACTTACAGTGGCTGAGGTGTATCCAAGAGTCTCTTTCAGCGATCTTCACTGCCGTGGGGGACCCTCCCAATGTGGACTGGACCAGTTCTTCCGTTTAACAACTTTGATGAACACCCAATGCTGAGTAGTTCCTGTTGGGAGACAGAATCATTCGGCAGTAAACTTGCTTTTGACACTCCTTTTTCCTGCCATACTTTTCTCATATAGTCGGCTAAAGTTTCTTCTTCTTCTGCTTTGTCTAGGTCTGCTTGGAATAGTGGGATTCTATAAGGTCTTCCATGAATGATTTCAAAAGGAATCAACCCTGTTCCTGTAGGTGTGATTCTTATATACAGTTTAACTTAGTCTAAACATTCTGGCCAAGGCCTTCCTGTTTCTTCCATGCATTTCCTAAGTCTGCTTTTAATTGTTGCATTAGTCCGTTTAACTAATCCTGCACTTTGTGGGTGATACGCACAATGATTTTTTAAATTTATTTTTAGATTGTCTGCCATAGTACTGATCACTTGCTTCACAAAATGTGGTCCATTGTCACTGTAGATGGTCTCTGGGATGCCATGTGTAGGAATAATTGTTTTGCAAATCGGTTTTGCTACAGTTATGGTATCTGCTTTAGCTGATGGGAAGATTTTAACCCATTTTGAGAATGCATCGATCATAACTAAACAGTATTTGTATGGACTGCTTTGCGATAATTCAATAAACTCCATGTGCATCATTTAAACTGGATGTGAGGTTGGGATAAGAGAATAGCTGCGTATGAGAGATGTCTAGCTGGTGACAGGAAATTCATCTTAGCCTGTAATAGTAAAACATCCACTGCATGTGTGACATGTAATGTGAGCAGATGGTACAGGACACATCTGATGAGCATTCTACAGCTGTTGCAGCTGCGCACACAGCCTGTAGACATGGCATGAGAGCTTGGGCTACAGGATCCAGCCATTTAGAGTAGAAAGCTACAGGCTATTTGTTGCCACCATGTTCTTGCAATAACACAGAGGTCATAAAACCGTCTTTACAGTCGATCATCTGATGGAAAGGTTTTTGGTAGTCAGGTAAAGACAAAACTGTGGATGATATAAGTTCCTTTTTAAGCTCCACAAACTTTTGCTCGGCCTCAAAGTTCCATTGTATTTTGTCTGTTATTGCCATAAGCGAGGAGTAGATCAGATCTAGCAATGGCTGTGTTTTTTCAGCAAAGTGAGGGATCGAAGCTTGGCAATAATCAACCCAGTCTCATAGGAAAATGTACCCCCACTACGTTGGTCCACACTGCAAAACGTAGTGGAGGTACATTAATGGCCATTTTTTTGTGGTACTGTTACATTTCTTCTGCCTATACGCTTTCTATTGTTTTACGTCCTAGTCACGTGACTTTCAAGATTCCAGCTGGGAGAAGAAAAAAAAATATATATATATGGCCGACATTCGCTCATTTTTTTGTTGAAAGATTGATAACTTGAGTTTGTTTTTGCATTAAAGCGGGAATCTGACGGCTAATAAAAACTAACATAAATTTTAAAGTAG